GGCTAATAAAAATCCTGGGCCACTTCACTGCTGGACGCCCAAGTATATGCATGCCTGTGGAAGTTTGCACTCCTATATCTGGGTCGTCCCAAGTACATTCAGGAGCCGGACAGGTATATATTGTGCTCTACAAAATGCCTTTGTTTAGTAATAGCTAGCATTTTGAAGCAATAAAAAACAGGCATAACTTGGGATTCGTCAAATTAATTTGATCCATTCTCTATGTGGTCTGAACTAAAACTATTTTTGTGAAGTCCTTTAAGTTTGTATTTGACACAAAAAAAAAAATACATAAGGTTCTCATTCTCATTTCAAAGTGATTCGTCAGTCGTCATAGTTTCTGGTCTTGCAAGAGATGTATATATATATATTTGGATATGATAATGTTGGTGTCTTTGATTAGATAGTTTCACTATCCATTGGTATACCGTACAAGAGATTAAGCTGGACAGCTACTACAATCCTTTTACATCATCTGAGGACTCATCATTTGGCACCGTTTGGCTGGAGTGAAAGACAGCGATAGAAAGATTCCATCAAGCCTACAAATCGATCTTGGGGGCTATTATCAAGAACAACATGGATTGTTCATCCTTAATTCTAATTTCATGGATTTTGTCGGATCTTCTTTGATGAAATCCTACCTTTTCTATAGCATAAATAGCATTTGTATGCTGTAGGATCTATGACAAATTTTCTTTTGTAACAATCTTCTAAAGATCGCCGATACTTGGTTCGGCATACCATTTAGCAATTTCGGTTTGCAATTTTTTTTTTCCAAAACAGTGTAAGGGTGGAATTTGAGACGTTAGGAAGGGAAATGGGGGTTTGTAATTGTGTTTATTTGTTGGTTTCTTCATCTTGTTTTATGCTTCTAATAATGTTCTTTTGAATTTCTTATATACACTGCCAGCCTCACCTAATCTCTTTTCACAAATTGTAATGGGATTGGAATGGTATTTTATGGGCTAAACTATTATGGAGTCCTTAAAATGTTTCAAGTGTCGCAAATTGATCTTGATCTATTTCAAATCTCAAATTGACCTTCAACAATAAAAAAATGTCAAAATTTGTTTCTTCAGTTGATTTTCACTGTTTGATCAATCCAATTTTGCCTTTAGATACATCAGCTTTAATGGCAGAGATGGGCTGATCGATCAAAAGTTAATACTTTTTATTGTTAAGGAGCCAATTTGAGACTTGAAATAAATGAGCGGCTAATTTGAAACAATGAAAATAGTTTAAGGACTCGTCTTATAACTTCATTTTTCGCAGCATTCCCTAAACGGCCTCTCTCGACTCCTATAATTCTCCTCATAGTCGTATATTTCCTCCAATGCCCCTTCCTTTTGTTGTGTTTCAACTTCCAATTCACTCGAGTTTTTCTTTTTCCCCACTCCTTTTGGCTTTGATTAGCAACCCTATACACCCAATGGCGGAGACTACACTACCACAGGCTCGGCCTAATATAAGCTTTGCAGTCGCTTCCCATGTCAGAACTCGTGCTACTTTTTGTTGGCAATCAATCATGGGCAGTGGCAAAATGTAAAGATTGAGACAAGGGAGGCTATAACCAACTTCCTTATAGGAGTTGACCACCACATTAATTGTGGGGTGGGAGATTAAGGATCAAATCTTACATCTCATCAATGTGCGAGGATTGCAATAAATTCATGTGATACGCATGGCGTACCCATCTGATCTGATCCAGTCCCCGTAACCTAGACAAGGTAGGCTATAAAAAGGAGCTAACGGTTGATTTCATAATGAATTTATAATGATAAAATGATTGAGAAAAGGTAGATAATGATAAAGCCATTTCACCATGTTTACGTGTAATCAATGCAAAGGACAATTGAAAATAGAAAAGTAGAAAGTACATTCTGCTATTATAGTTTCCAAAGGTAACAATCTCCTGTTCTTCCATAGTCTTCTCTACCGAACTTACAGCTGAGAGAGGACTCCAGCGAATGTCAAATGATTTCAAGAGTCGAATTAGACCTTAAACAAGAAGGGATTTCTTTTGATTTCGAATACTGCTGCAATTCTAATTTCTCAAGACATGTAAATTGATGGGCCTGATCCCGTCCACCAGGCAAAGAAATCGAAGAAATCTTGTAATGGAGATCAAATATTGACTGCAGGATGGTGCTCAAACTGTTAGTCCTTTAGCTGGAAGCAGCTCAAGTCACTAAAATGCAGGTTGTCGAATCTATAGCCTGTTTAAACTAATTTTCTATGCACCTAATAAAACAGCCAAGAAAACTGATTGTGTGTTTTTGCTGTCTGTGGAACTCTTCCTGCTTCACAATTCTTCTTGAGGGTCAGCAAACTTCTCTAATTCATCGATTCTGATTTCAATCTTTTAATGGCCAAGACCAGATCGATCAGTTAGTGAATGACTAGCAGATCCCAATGGTTATGGTATTTGATCATTCAAGGGCTTCATTCAGTCTGCTTTTTAAGTATTATCACACTCTTTAATCATAAGAACCCGCCGCCTTCGACCAATCCAGGTAGTCAACCAAGCAGGATCTCCTGAGACAACTCTATAACCTGCATTTGAGTACAGTTCTCTAGCGCCCCAGTCATCTTCATAAGCCCGCAGGACAAGATATTCAAAGCCCCAAAGGTTGCAAAGCCTGTCACAGGCTTTCAGCAAAGCAGTTGCAACTTTTTTCCTCCTGTAAATTATGCATAAATTTCTAATTATATTCTCCTAATTATCAAAATATCAAGTGATTGTTGGATTGGATATCAAGGTGCTCTGCTGTTATTAACCTGAAATTGTTTAAGACGGCTATGCCAGAAACATAAAGATATTCATCTGCTCCTGAGATGTACTGAAGGACTTCATCATCCCTCGAAACGGTGACATCAACAACGCCAACGAGATCATCCATGTTAGAGCCAGAGGTATCCCTTGAAGGCTCGGCAACTAGACAGGCATACCTGGTAATGAAACCAAACCAATGAAAAGTAAGATAACTTATATGGGAAACTCTGACTATGTAATCTTGAATCTTAATATGAAGCTCAAATTTACCAAGTCCGGGAATGCTCATACATTCCAATAGTTTGTTAGATGCATCTTTAAATCCATTAGTGATAGAAGAAATGCCAGCTTAGCCCAGCCTGGCCATACCCATAATGTTTATCTTATTACTACTCACATTTTACCTGTCTGGTGGTGAGTTTCTGAGTCTGTACAAGAGTCCTGAAAGCACTTCGGCCTGTCATTAATCGATTATACAATAGTCAGAGGAACTAATGGGGCCCCAACATGAACAATGGAACTGAGAAGTCTGCTTCTGCTGTACATCTATCAGAAGCAGAATTGCATGAATGTATCGTCAAGTCAATTGCAATTTTTTCTAGTCATTGACTGAGAATTTACTATCATCTCAACTGTAGAATTACACATAGAAAATGGCAACATTCCTTCTGTAGAATTTACAGCAAGATGATTAATGCTAAAATTGGAGAGCAAAAGATTCACCTAGGCTAATGATTTGAGTCATGCAGTACTTCGTTTTCTGTGATTTTCCTCCTTGAAAAGGTGAATAAAACAACAGATAACCAAAATTAGTGGAGTAAAAACCTGGAAGAATTCAAAGAAAAAGTCATTGAACAAAACCACTGGCTCATGGAAAGCTTCAGCCTGAACTCCGGCAACTTTCCTCATCTCTTCATCTGTCTCCACCATCCTCCTTATATGCCATCCATGCTCACTCAATAAAGAACCAAATCCATCTCTTCTATTATATAAATAGTATGTGTTTCCTTCAACTTCCAGCTGCCCTGCAGCCAGCTCCACTTCATTGACTGATGATGAATTCGAAGTAGAGCGACAATGTACCTTCCAAACGACCCTTCTTTCTTCTCCAGAAGGCCTTTTCAACTTTGTGATTCTTGCCTTCTCAACTGAATTTTTCCATCTCCTATTGATCTTCAGCAGACTAAAGTAATGTTGATTTTCGGTGTGACATCTCCGAGACCAAATGTTGAGATAGTTTGGTTGCAAATAGGCCATTTTCCACTATTTTTCTATAGTGTGAGTATTTATTTGATGCAGAAGCATGTGGATGGTGAAGTAGACCGACGCATCAGTTTCAATGCTTGGCTTAATAATTCTGCTTAAACAAATTATGGGAAAGAAAAAATTGGAAATCTTTAATTACTTGTGTTGGCACTTGGCAGAAGGCATAAATGTTATTTTCTAACAGTGACAGGAACGGTATTTGGCTGAGAGTTAATTCTATGATTTTAAAAAAGCCAAAACTTGAAAGCATGGAATTATCAGTTGTACACATCTTTTTGTGGTCCTGGTCCCGGGAATAAATTTTTATTTGAAGCAGTGGTTTTGGGGCAGATAAGACATGAGCTATGGAGTGGCTGTAGTGCATTTAGTTTGTAACCCCACACAACTTCTGGTGGTCGTAAATTCTTTACTTTTCAATCTTTGATAGGCCATCAAGATTCTGTATCTTCTCTTGAATCTCAGCCTGACAATTGTCTACTTAGAAGGTTCAATTAATTATTTTATTTTTCATCCCCATATTTTGGACAATTTGCACTTCCTTTTGATCCTCACTCCCAAGTATTAATCACAGTCAGGGGGGCAACTAATACCTTGATTCCATGGTGTTCTTTGATGTTCATCTATTTTGAGCAGTTACACTGGAATATCAACACAATAGTTTAACATCCTGATTTTTACAACACAGTAACTGTTTGACAAAGTTAGTGGACTCTTCAGTTTTCTAAACCATCTCAGGGAAACTTCTCCTGTGTCCCATCTTTTACTTCACAGTATTATTTTATCTATTGCGCTTCCTTTCATTACTTCCTACTTCCTCTTTCCTTCTTTGTTCCACCTTCTGATGCAACCACCATGGCACACAGTAACACAGGCTTGGCCTGGTACAAGGTGTTAAATGATTTTCCAATTCAGCAATAATCCTACACTTTTGTTGCAGAAAAAGATTGAGAAAGGTAGATTACAATGAAAAGATGATCTGATTTTATAATGCATTTCGGACGAATTGACTTGATAGAATGATTTTTCCAGTTAACATGTAATGTGAGGTACACTTGAAAAATGAAAATGTGATACTATGCTATTCTGCTTTGGCTGAGATGAGAATCTGCAGGTCCTCGTATCCCATTTCCTCCTGTCCTTCCTTAACCTCCTCTGCTAAGCTTACAACAGAAGGCGGACACCAGCGAATCTCAATCATTTCTAGAGGTGAATTAGACCCCAAACAAGAAGGAATTTCTTTCAATTTCCAACACTGCTCCAATATTAATTTTTGAAGACGTGGAAAATGATCACCTGATCCTGTCCACCTGACGATATTCAAGCGAGACAATTTTAAGATTCTGAGTTTGGGGAATTCAACTTCTTCTGTGATGTCCCATCTTATCTCCTCATCAGCTCCCTCCCCATGGAAATCCTCCCCGACTTCTTCCTCTGGGATTTCTTCCTCTTCACTTGCGTCCCATATGTCCCCCTGATCTGCTCTATCATCCAATAATTTGAGAACCTCGAGATTGGATAGTTCCTCAATCACGGAAATCATACTCCAGGAGAAGTCCGAGAGAGTCAACTTTTTGAGGTTAACTGGAAAGTGAAACTGAATAGCTCGTTGTTCAGTGAAATATAGAGATAGACTAAGTGATTCTAGCTGACTTAGAAAATTCATTTTCACAATCCTACTGCAATCTGGAACTGGATCTTCCGGTTCAGAAAGTTCGCATTTTAGCCTACGAATGTTTGGGAACTTTCTCAATATCTTTTCCATGCTTGGATCAATGAAAAGCAACAGATTGGAGAAAGTGCTCAAGTTATACAGAATGGAGAAGTTTTCATGCACGTCTTTGGCCAGGCTAATGTCACCGGAACTACCACTGATGCATAGATGCCTCAAATTCGTCATATTCCAGATTGTCTCTGGCAACATAACATCACCCAAATAGACATCGAGAATAAAGGTTTCCAAATTGGAGAGGTTGGCTATTGAAGATGGGATGGATTGCATCATACCACGGATTGCCAAGTACCTTAACTCAACAAGCACCTCTATTTCAGTTGGAAAATTTTCACCTAGGAAAACCTGTCCCAAATCTAACACTCTAAGAAGTTTGCAGATTTGAAAGATGAACAAGCTATCGGAGTACTTTCTTGGGTACCCATCACCATGAGAAAAGAACATTAGACAACGTATCTGAGGACAGAATAGCCTTGACTTCTCAAAATGCTCTTGCTTAGAGTATATGCACAATCTTCTTGTATTGAATGACTCGCTAAAAGTAAAAAGCCCCTCATAACCATGTAACAACTGAAAAAAATTCTCTTCTTTGGCTTTTGTTGCACAAAACTCGCGTACCAAATCATGAACTCGACAAGTTTTAACGCCACCAAAGGATCTTTGTTTGGAAACTATAATTAAGCTTCTGCCAATCAGATCCATCATGTAGTCCTCTGCCACTTCCTCTACTTTCTTCTGCTCAACTTCCTTAACAAACCCTTCAGCAATCCATAACCGCAACAACCTTTGAATTGGAATTTCTTGGCCCTGTGGAAATGCTCCAGCATAAAGAAGGCATGGCTTTAAGTAGTCAGGTACATGCCTATAGCTCAACTCTAACATATTCATTGACTGCTCTGTGAGACTAACATTTCTTGCACTCATCCTTTCTGCAAATTGTTTCCACCCATCTTGTTCTATTGTTGCAAGAATTCCAGCCACAATCACAACTGTGAGAGGCAGCCCACCACAATTTTCTGCTATTTGCTTCCCAATTGTGCATAGTTCAGGAGGATAAGGTTCAGTGGGAAAGAGCATCTTCTGTAGTAAATCCCAGCTCTCATCATCAGTGAATTGGCGAAGACGGTGAGGTTCGCGGTCAGGTTCAACTTGTGAAGCCACCTCATACTGTCGGCTTGTTATGAGAACTCTGCTTCCCTTTTTATCATCTGGAAATGATCTTTTCAAGATATTGCATGCATCAATGTCCCATATGTCATCCAAGACAATGAAGTACCTATATCTCTGCAGGGAATTAAGAAGCTTATGAGCCAAGTCCTGTTCATCCATGTCACAGTATTTCTTAGAAACATCTGGATTAATGCCACGCAAAAGCTCAAGCAACAAATCCTTCATGCAATATACTTGAGAGACATTGCACCATGCCCGAATATGAAAGTCTCTTATAATTGAAGGATCTCTGTACACTCGTTGGGCTAAAGTAGTCTTGCCAAGTCCTGGCATGCCCACAATGGATACGATGTCCAACTTCTCTGATCCATGCCTAACTTGATTAATTATTCTTTCTGTCTCATCTTTGAAACCTACTGCACCATTATTCAGTACTGGGATGATTCCTTGTGATGAGACATAATTAGAAGTTTTGACAACTTTCTGGGCTTCAGAGCCATAGGTCTCATCAATCTCAAGGGCCTCAGTCTTGATAAGCAATAATTCTTCTAATATGCTATCAAAGGACAGAGGAGAAAGATCAAAGGAGTTAATGACAAACATTACCTTGTTTGCTACCTCAATAACATGACTCCAGAAAGCTTTGAGCTTTTCATGCTTGTTATGCTGCTCAGCAATCTTCTCAAAAACAGATCCTAAGAATACAAAATCTTTCTGGACTGTCCAGATTTTATCCTTTGAATGAGCAAGGAAATCAAGCTCCGCGAGTTCCATCAGATTCTTTAGAAGAAACTTTATTAAGCCAAGCCCGTTGGTCCCCGGAGATTTGAGAGTTGACGTTACCAATCTAATAAGCTTAATCTTCTGGAGCAAATCAGAAAATCCAAGATCCACGTCCTTGGGCAGGCCTCCTCCTGTTTCATTTGCAGAAAGTGAAAGAATCAAAATTCCAGCCTCATTGACTGCAGCTCCTACAAGATCCATCATTTTTTGGTGTAACCCACTGAACTTCTCCTGCTGCCTTTTGAGAATGGTTCTCAAGAATCTGAGTCCATCATAGAGCATTTGCATCTGATCTTGCTTTGCAACCACAAAGCTGGTGTTGCGGTTTAAAACCTCCCAAAGTATACCTGTGAGGGAATCAGCAAAATCCCCAACTATACACATATCTTTCTCAAGATTTAAGGTCTGCAATGAACCTGATAATTTTGAACTTCTTAAGCCCTGGATACAACTCTCGTGAAACTGGGAATGAAGATGCTTGATGTCCTGTAGCAGTTCAGAAATCATAGAGTGCATTTCATTACACTCTTTTTTATCAAATAGTCTGTCAAACCAACAACTGTAAGAGAGGTCCGCTGCCTGGACTGCCACAGCTTGCAAGCCAGCGGTGGGATCTTTCAACAGACTAGACTCAACACCTTGCCATGTTGCAAAGAGAACAAAATCCTTCAAAAATTTTAACTTCTCTTGGAGGGCTTCGAACTTTATCTTATGCAAACCTCGATCATAAGCTTCAATCGGGCTGACAACATCCACCAGATTCTCTAACAGCGAGTCAACGAATTCCACTAGTACTTCATCTATCAAAGCAGAGAGATTGGATGGCACTACAAAAGCCCGCAAACTGCAGTACATCGTGCTGATTTCAATGTCAAAAGAGCTGAATTTTGCTCTAAAATCAAGGATCGCTTGGTCCAAATGATCGCTGAAGGAGATTCCATCCTCCGTTAGAACGCAAAAGGCCTGAGCATGATAGAGAACAGCATCTTGAAGGCTAGACAAGAAAGCTTCAAGCCTTGCATCCTTCCATCCATCGAGGCTCCATCTTCTTGCACAAAGAAGAAAAGTTCTCACAAGTTTTGATTCAAGCTTCACAATTTTCAGCCCCTCATTATACTTCTCTTTCTTCACCAACTCTGGATCTATATTTGCCAAGTCATCTATATTATCTAACAAAGGCTTGATGTTATGTAAGACTGAATTAATGGAACTAGAAGCCATCTCAAACTTCAGGTTTCTGCGCAGTCATAGAACAACTTCACTAGATCAAGAAGTGTTTACTCCTTTCTCAACATTTCATTATTCCAGTCAACCCCTTTCTTCCTTGAATTTTGTCAAGTTTTTAAGAATCAAAGAAGCAATATTAGCGTTTAAATCTGCTGGCCTGCACTCGATTTGAGTTTTTTATTTCTTAACTATTGTTGTTATTTCTTTTTACTAGTTGAATTCAAACCCAAATGTATGAAGAATGGAATTAAGTAAACATTAGCGCATAAATCTTGTCAATTTGTTGGAAAGAGACAAATAAGCATTTGTCAAGTGGTGAATAGTCACTACCAAAAGAGTAGAATACATATTAGCACAGCACCAATAATTGGAGTGGTTGCAACTTGCAACTTGCAAATGCAAAATATATTTGGAAATGGGAATGGGTCAAAGAAGAAAAATAAGACAGACCGACAGAGAAAGCAATTCTTTATGTAAGAGCCAGAATTTATGGATATTAATTTAATTTGGCGGCTTATCTGATTAGAATGCAATTATTGTCATCAAATAAAAGAAAAATACGACTAACTCCACTTTGCATCTTTAAACTTGTATCACCTTTCACTCTATTTTCTAAACTTCATTTTTGAACATTCGGTATTCTAAGCTCTCAATTTTAGATACTTTACACTTAAACTCTCAAATTTGTCCCATTTAAGTCCAATAAATGACAATGTTAGCAAAATCAACCAAATAAATGATGGTGAAAATTAATGATAATGCATATTTTTGTTCCAATTGCAATCCCAGGTTTCTTTTTTACGGCTTTCAATGCATTATCATTAATTTGTATAATTCCAATCACTAATATTGTTAGCAAAATTAACAAGTTACAGGATGGTGCTAATTAATGACCTATATATGTACATATAGGCTCCTTTTGTCCACTTTTAACATATTTTCATTGATTTGCTAGGTTTTTTTACCACTTTTAACAATTACTCGTCCACTTTTAGCATTAAAAATTTGAGGACAAGCAATTGTTAGAACTTAGAATTGTCCTCATTGTATTGCTAATATTGTATTAGTAATATATATATATATTATTAGTAATATAATATATATATAATTAGAATTTAAAAATTATTGCAAATTTTGTTGTATTATATCAATTTAACAATTCAGATATATATTAGTAATATATAAATTGTCCTCATTGTATTGCTAATATTGTATTAGTAATATATATATATATTATTAGTAATATATAATATATATAATTAGAATTTAAAAATTATTGCAAATTTTGTTGTATTATATCAATTTAACAATTCAGATATATTCGATCTGGATTCGGATCCCGATAGAATAGGATCTAGAACTATATATTGAGAGCAGTTAGGTATCCAGATTCGAATCTAGAATACTCCCTCCGTCCCATTAAAATTGTCATACTTCCTTTTTGGTCTGTCCCAAAATTATGTCATCTTACCAAATTTGGCTAATAATTTTGTAACTTATTCCAATTTTTACCCCTCATGCACTTGCACAAGAAATCTTTAAATAATGTTATAGGTCCCACTTTCTCTTTGCAACATACATTCAGGAAATATGTTCAAATAGCACGTGGATGGTACTAACATTTAGATGAGTCAGAAGCGTACTAGAGCATGCTTACTTGTATGGAGATTTAGGCACAAAAGATAATACATTGGCCCCACATGTAGCTTCAAATATTCAAACGGTTTTAAACTTACACATTTTCCCACTAATTAGTGAAGGTTAGAAATGGAAAGCAAACACAATTTCTTCACTCTTTGACCACTGTTGATAAAAAACACAATTCCCCAAAAGTGACAAACTTATTGGGACGGAGGGAGTAATTATAATCAAATGGATTCACGTTCGGAATCATCAATTCCAACCCAAATCCAACCGGTTGACAACTCTAAGATGGACTAAAGTGGGACACGAACAACAATATGGGCTAAATTGCAAAAGAGAGCAATACAAATATATAAACTCTAACACTACATCATGTAATTCAGGCATAGGCCCATAGAACTTAGTAGATAAGTAGGATTACCAAAACTATTAGGGTGTATTTGATTCACGGACTGGATGAGAGAAGATTGCTTATTCTCGGACTACTCATTCTAAGTCGAGTCATCCTTGAATAAGTAATCTTATTATTTAGTATTTTGTTGGTTTTACATTAGATCGGATGTGTTAGGTGTCGCGCCCCACTTTTTGAATGTGTGTTGTGGTGTGTGAGTAGTGTGGAATATGTGAACGTGTGTAAATGAAAATAAAAGGCCATGGGACTTAAAAATGCGACGATTTGGCCAAACGAAGTTTAAAAAGGGTTTTTTTGAATGAAAAACGGAGTCGCCACTTGGTATAGAGTTAGGGTGTACCAAGTCACCCAAAAAAGTGATTTTTTCTAAAGGAAAGGTAGAGAGAAACCCCTTTTAAACGACTCCTAGTCCACGTAAACCAACGAAAAAAGGTTCGGGAGTCACATTTGACGAAGGGGAAGGCAAGGATAAAATCCAAGGCACCCCTTCGACCTAGCCAAGGCTAGTTGCGTGATTTAGCCCCACCTTTCCTAATTTTTCTACCCAAGATATGTATCGCGTGTTGGATATGACTATATGAATGCAAGAACCTAGACCTAGGGGGACATGGGGGAAATTTCTCTTCAAAGGTTGAGTGGTGCCAATCACATTAATTGTGAAGCCCAATGATAATCCTTTGGAGAGGTCACACATAATCCTAAATGACGTAAAAATGAGTGGAATGCATGCCATGTGAAAATGTGAGTTTGTGTGAAGTGAGAAAAGTGATAAAAATAATAGGATGTAAGTGGAGGTGTGCAAATGTATTTACAGGGTAAGGTGAGTAAAGAATGATAATGTGAAAATAATATAAAGTGCATGTGTGCGAGTGATATGGTATAAAGTGTGAGTGGTTAAGTGAAAAACGTCCAAAAGTAGTGTGAAGTGAGAATGTGGAAAAAGGGATAGAATATAAAGTAAAAGTGTATGTGATAGCGAATGAATAAAATGCATGAACACTAGAGGAATGCATCAGGACGGGAACGGGGAGTCCTAACTTTGTGACTTTAATCTTCCCTTTGATTAGAAGGGGGAACTAGCGTGCTAAGGCTATTTGTGGAGCCACACTCGCTCGTTTCCCTTGTCGAAAGGGGACTCTTCAAGCAAATGTACCATATAACTAGCATGAAAATGCAAAAGTCTAAAATGAAGGGGAAAGGGTGGAGGAGCATGCCGAATGATAAAAACTAAGAAAAATGCATGAAAATGTAGTGAGCATGCAAGTATGCACTAACAAAAAGGGACGGCCTATTGGGTCTAGCGTTGGACTAGCCCTTTTCTAAGAATTTCCTACTAGCGTTGGACTAGTGGAAAACGGGACAATGAACCACAACTAGCGTTGAACTAGTGTGGTGACGAGAAAGGGGGCCACAACTAGCATTGGACTAGTGTGGTGACGTCCATTCATCCATCACTTTCATTCATGACCATAAAAAGCGAGTAGACATGCGAATCACTTATAAACACGTAGCACATAACACTTAGCATGCTCGACTAGATGCAAGAGCCTAATAAAGCAAATTAACACGTAACACATAGGCATGCAACCAAGCTAATGAATCTATTACATTTGCTAACTAAAACAAAAGGGGAAAGGGAAAATGGACCAACTTGCTCGCCAAGCCCTATCTATTACAAGCCAAGAGGTGTACACATACCCCATAATGAATAACTTAAATAAAAGCAAAAGTAAATGAAATAAATGCAAGGAATTAAGGAAAGGCAAGGAAAGCGAAGTAGACATGCATATTCACATAACACGTAGGAGCACGTAGGGTCAAATGAAGTGCAAATAAGGGATAGAGTGTACCTCCCCTTGAATCGACGCCCTAATGAAGTGAAATTACTAATTTACCCTCCAAAATAATAAAAGGGTCAAGGTACCACTTTAATTATCAAATAATCAGAGAAAATGGAAATAAACGCCAAATTGAATCACTCGAAGCATTCCAAGGAAAGTAAAATACTCGTATTTAACCAATTAAAACAAGCAAAGACCCAATTGAAAAATTAAAGAGGTTTAAAGGGCCAATTTATTATTATTATAAACACTAAGGATCTAAAAAAAAAACATAAAATAAAATTAAGAATCGAAGGTGAAACATACCAAATCAAACGAGAAAATTCACAAAAAGGTAAATGAGGAACAATTTGCTAGTATCTAAGCAACATAATGCCAAAGAATCCAAGAAAAAAACAAATTGACTACAAATCTAGAAAAAAAAATTATTAGACCCTTCAAATTCATTCTACAACTCCTTAAGTATCTACCCAAACAAATCAAGATGTGTTAAAGAGAGAATGGCATGTTAGGAGGACAAAATTAATTAAGTTTTCCAATTAATTGGGCCATGGAAGCATTAGATAGAAGCCAAGGGGTTGGAGTGCAATTTTTGGAAGTTATTTCTTCATGCAAAGCATGCGATCCACGAAGAGAAGAAGAAAATAAGCTTCTGCAATGTTTTCGGCCAAACAAATTTGCTGCAATTTCAAAATCCAAATGCAAGTTTCAATTCGCATGCTCACTTTTGATCTAAACTCTACCCACCAAACATCAAAAACTCTAACTGGACAACCGAGTGTAGAACTTTAACATCTAAACAATCAAACATAGGATGAAATTCATGCAAGAAAAACACCAAGAAACTCATGCATTCTGCAAACTCACGGCTGTGCAGTCTCATTCAATTTCTGACCCATTTGGCCGAATCTATATTCATGCAAATAACCCAAGTATATCTCCACTCAAATCAAAATGTAGAGATTTGAAGCAAAGGTAGGAGTAGGATCAAACATTAGGTATTATGTGTTTGGTTAGAGATAGGATGAGACAGGAATATATAATTATAGACCAAAATACCCTTTTGTCAAACAACAATTAGGGGGTTTGATAAATCCAAACTCGATTTGGTAAAAAGTAGAAATTTTGGATTTTGAGTTTCGAGCTAATACTATGAGTCCACACTCGGGTCATAAATATCTTGGCATTTTGAGCCTAGTTTATATTTGGCCCAAACTCACAAGCCTCAATTGACATATCTAATTTTTTATGAGCTAGAATTGACCAAACAAAATATGGTTTTGCTTTTGGTAGGAAC